TGAAGGCAAGCAGGAACAATTCTGTGCTTTGAATAAGCAAACACACCCCTTTCTCACAGAGGTGAGAAAATTATCAGGTTCACCTGGATCCTGATTGGGCAGAAAAGTAGAAGACGGGAAGACTCGATGGATTCTGCCTCTGCAAGGGAGAATTTCACACACTGTTTCTGCTTCTTTGTTTCCAAGGAAAGGAATGAGCCTGAAGAGGAATAAAGCTCAACAAACACTTCAACATAATCCCAAACATCTTTACCTAGTAGAATCTCTTCTTTCACAGAAAAAAAAAAAAAAGAGTCTCTTCAGAGTTGGAAAAAAGATGGAAAGGAAGCTACTTCTCCACTTGAAGTAAAAAAAGAGTTTTACTCATCATTCCTTCTTTAGTTACAAGAGAAGCACCATCTAGATGGAGTTGTAACACAGTAATACAATTTATTGGCCCATAAATCAGGAAAAAAGTGCAACTACTCTACTGCAAAGGCAAAAGGTTACTTTAGAATAACACAAAATCCAGTGAAGTAGTGCCATGTGGATCCTGTAGTCAAGTGGGCAAGATCACGGGAAAGAATGACTGCTTACTTTTCTTAATTTGGGAGAGAGGGACCTTGCCAAGTGCCAGGTCCTACACCTGGGTTGGCACAACCCCAGGCACAGCTACAGGTTGGATGGAGAAGAGATTCAGAACAGCCCTGCGGAGAGGGACTTGGGGGTGGTGGTTGATGGAAGCCTATAAGGATGTTGGAGAGGGACTCTTCATTAGGGACTCTAGTGGTAGAACAAGGGGTAATGGGTTCAAACTTAAACAGGGGAAGTTTAGATTAGATATAAGGAAGAAGTTCTTTACAGTGAGGGTGGTGAGGCACTGGAATGGGTTGCCCAAGGAAGTTGTGAATGCTTCAACCCTGGCAGTGTTCAAGGCCAGGTTGGACAGAGCCTTGGGTGACACAGTTTAGTGTGAGGTGTCCCTGCTCATGGCAGGGGAGTCAGAACTAGATGATCTTAAGGTCCTTTCCAACCCAAACCATTCTTTGATTCTATGGGACTGTTGCATAGATCCTAGAGAGGCACATTTAAGACTGTAGTTCTTGTTCCAGACTAAACCACTAAGCTAAAAGAAAAAGCACCAATCAGTGAGTTATTTTTACAGGAAATATATAGGAAAGAGGCAAACTGTTTGGAATGAAATACTAGAAGGAAAGTAAGCTTTCTTGGATGGGCAGAATTTGTTTTGTTTTTTTCTTGAGCTTCGCACAAGAGTCTTACACATTCATCAATCAGGACATCATTGGTTAATCTACTTTGTATAAGCACAGGCGCTGACAAAATACTCTCACCTCCATTCTTAACTCTGCGTAAGAAAGTCAGTCAGTAGCTACATCTACACAGCCTCACATTATGTTCTACAGCAGTATTACAAACATTAGGGTTTTTCCTACAGCATAATTATTTTCAAAAATTTTATATCTTTTCCAATCTAAAAGACTTGCCAGCAGTTTATTGTGGAGGAGAAAAGGATGGTTAACACAAAATAGCACTCACATTCTTGATAGCTTTAGGTTTAGACACATACTACTTGACCCCACAGCTCAACTTCAGTTGCTTAAAGGCAGACTCATGTAGATGGATACAGCCAAAAGTGATCCAGGAGTCAAAGGGCACTCACTCTAATATACTTGTTAGGGTTAGGGTTTAAACAAAAATATCTAGTATTAGGTATTAAAATAAAGTTAGCTAGAGTAAGTAAAGCTAAATAAGCTAAAGTAAGTAAGCTACGTAAACTAAAGGAGTCCTCCTCCAAAGGTGTTCTGTGGTGTCTATAAACTAAGTAGCTGGGCCCATTCAAATGCTTTAAATAAATTACTTAGTCACCCCAATTCTTTAAGCAATACTATATCTATTTCACACCAAGAGTTTTCTGGGGTTTTGCCCTTTAAAAAAAATTAATTAGAAAATAACAGGAAAAGAATTTAATTATGTCACAATGCAGCCTTTTCATAAACATACAATTATGTTCATTTCATGAGAATTTATCTTCACTGTGAAATCAATCGTCACAGTCTCCATTTACTATACATTACCAAGTCAAATTTGATTCCTGCCAGAAAACTGGTGACTTCTGCAGTAAATCAAAATGACAGATACCGTTAGTTTCCTTCTGCATCTATCCCCAGGCCTCAGCTAACTCAAGATGGTTTTTCCTTCTATGCAGTGAAATGAGCAGTTTCCTGGTAACTACATTTCAGAACTGGAAAGGTTTTCATAAATGGAAAAAATGCAGTGTATAGTCCAGGAAACTACTGAAATGTACAGTATCAGAAACATATGGCTGTAGCAAATACCTATGTAGTGAGAGGCTGGGAATGAAAAAGAGACAAGCCTATTAAAATTCTTCTCCTAAAGGGATTTTGCTTGAAAACTAAAATACTCTAATTGAACATCAAGATATGCTGCAGATTGGTAAGGAGGGAAACACAGAATAATATTCCATGCTATCATGGAAGCTGGAACATATGATTTTGCCTTTGTTCTTTAACGATCTACATCTTAAATAGCAAAATGGTTCCATAGCCAGAACCCTCAGTGGGCAAACTCAGAAAGAGAAAGCTGATTTCTTTCTCAGTTAAGTTTTTTTTTTAATAAACTTTAGTAAATAATTTGTTTTAATAAACCTTAAGAAATTATTATTATTAAAAAAACAAACAAAACCCCACACACAAAATAAACAACCATTCCCCTTAATCCTCCCTCAAAAAAACCCAACAATCAGAAACTAAGTTAATTTTTATATGAATTTTGAAAAAGAAGCCATATTCACACACACTCCCCATTCAGAATCTTAAGTAAGACAAAGTAAAACAACAACAAGACTTCTTATTTCAACAGATCTTTATCAATTCCCAGTTTCAGTTTCCCTAAGAATCTGGGACAGGGAACACAGTCCCCAGTTGAGGGCCAGGCCACTTTACTCAAGCCCCAGTGTCCCTGATTCTGCTGACACAATCTATGAATTTAGGAAACTGTGGAAAGTGATACTAAACTTGTTTTGACCAAAAAAACTTAAAAAACAGCAGGCAGGTTTTTAAAAGTATAAAAAAAAATCAGCTGTTTTATAGTAACAGAGGAATGAGTTGCGATTAGAATTCAATAAATATTTCTTCTAGAAAAACTTCTGCCTCCTTTTAAGCTGGAAGACTCCATAAACAGCCTCTCCCAAGGCAAAGGTATTTTGTTGTCTTATTGCTGTGCTGTCATGTCTCAACACGCCTATACAGATACAAGGATGTTTTTAGAGCAGCTTGCAAATGCTGGAGGGTACACTCACAGCCCAAATGGGCAGGGTTATTACAGACATGGCAAACATTTTAGACATCTGATTTTGAAATCTGTGCTGTCCATTGTGTACGAATATCCAGTGAAAATGCGAACATGCAGCTATATTACACCCAAATAAATCTCAAACCTGCCAACAGAAACGTATGCTTCTCTTTGATTTTCACAGCAGTTCAGTGATTAAGATTATGAAAATATTCTTATTTTTTGACTATTTTTTAATTATTTTTTGATTATTTGAATCAAAATATTCTTATATTTTATTAAAATATTCTTATATTTTGATCCTCCAAAACACAGGAGGAACAACAAGTAATAATTAACAGATTTCTCATGGAAGGAACTTAACATGTACAGCTCATATCAAGTCACCAGAACAAAGTTTTCTTTCTTGATTGGTGTAAGTGCAATGTTAGGACGTTTCACACATCTCTATAGCAGAATAATCAGAATTACATTAATTGCCAGTATCTGAAGATCATTTATATTTTTAAAAACATTAAAAGTATTTCAAAAGCTTTCTTCTGTGCTCCCAAAATGCAAGCGGTCAAGTGTTTGAAATCTTATTCCCAGCAAGTATGTGTGTGACATACTTTCAAAGGGCATCTCCTGTCAGACAGTGTCCACATCTAGGCTAGCTGAGATGTCAGCAGATGTAGGCAAAGCCTTCATGTAGTTCAGAGCAAGACTCACACTGCATCCTCCCGTTTCTGACAGAGAAACTTGACAGCCCAGAAATCCTGTGCTTTGCTTTTGTTTTGCGGGAGGGAGCAACATTGCTTGCTTCTGAAAGGACTATATCTGGCCAGTTCAGGAGCAACAGCTGGCTCTACAGGGAGCCACATCCAGCCCTCATCATCTTGAGCATCATCTGTTGCCAAGTTTTGGCAATGCAAGCAGGGAGTGGGTGTGAAGCAGGAGAAGAGTAAAACAAGGGCATCTATACATGGTACCACTACAATCTATTTTACTTCCACTGAGACAGCTGCAAATGCACCTCCCCAGCAATTAAAAAAGATAAAATTTGCAGGTCATTTTTATGTCTTTAAGTGTTGTCATGTTTCCTTATTTGTGCATAGTAATCTGAATAGGTGGTGCATCAGAAGTAGGCTGCTATAGAATACCCACATCACTTAAATCAGAGCATGGAGCTTGAAAATAAAAGTGTGAAGCAAACACTACAAAGCAAAGAGTCTATTATTTAGGGAAGCAGAGGAATATCATTTGTTTTCCATTCAGCAGTATTTAAACCCAAACAAACAATAGAATGATTCCAAACATTACAGACAGGCAAGATTTTTGATTGGAGGGAGTAAGAAGCAATGACACTTTTGTGATTTACACCAGTTGAATCTGGTCACAAGGTGCAGAAGTCATGAATGTTTTGGTAAGCCTAGGTGATTGCCAAACAAAACAAAAATAGGATCAGGAGATGATTATTCACCCATACAGAATGAGATGACTAATCATGGAGCAGTTTCACCCTGAGTGGCTAGGAGGACACTAACCTTTCATTCCACATTTATGCAACTGCAAAACAGCAGATAAATCAAATCAAGAGTGTCAAGATTCACTCAACATAGTGGAAATACCACAACTGCACTCCCAGTTATTAAAATGTTCAGATAGGTACATTTTTATGGCTGTATCTGCAGAATAGCACATTTTCTTACCTCTGCTCAGTGTTAAACAATGCAAAGATATGTTTGCTAGACATGAAGCTCTTTTCAACATCTCGCACTTTTAAGTTGTCCAAAGGAAGCATATACTTCTTCTCTTTTTCCTAGAAAAGAAACAGATTAAAACGACACTATATGAGAAATCTCAAACACTATTTCAGCAAACTCTGTTTAGTTGGTAATGACTTCAGTACACTTATTATCATAAGGGTATATTCAAAATTGAAATGTCTCTTTATCTTTCATAGACATACCTGCAACAGAAATGAAACCTGAATTCCAGTTGTTTTTCACTAACCCATTTAAAACATTTCCCAGTTAAAAAAGCAAATCCCCTCTCAAATACATAAGCATCTACTTTTATTATTCTTCATTCCTCTGAATTATAATAAGAGTCAAACTTAACTAAAAGGGAAGTGTCTAATCAATACAAAACTCTTCTTCCATGTCTGTGGACATAAAAATCATCTCTATCTACAGTCACTATTATTAATTATTTATGGGTAGCATTTGATTACCCCACCATAAATTTTCATTTCTCCAATGGAAAATACAAAAATCATACAAATCAATCAAAATCGTACTATCATTGAGGTTTTATATATACTGTATACAAATAAAACCAGACTCTAATCTAACCAGCTTATTTCTCCAAACAGCACGAATGATCTATTCGCTTTTACTGTAGCCAACTCCTTTTGCATTTTCATCACAACTCTTATTTACTGCACAATCACTATAATTTCACCTTTTCTAGGTTTCTTGCTTCCTGTCATTCCAAATTAAGGACTAGTAACACTCTCAAGCTACTTTCTGATGTCAGAACAAAAGAGCCTGAAGATTATTAGCCATTTCCATTGTGCTAAACTTCCTTGAATTCCTTGTACTGATGGACAAACCAGGGCAAGCCTCTCCATTTTGCTTTGCAAATACATCTGGTGCTAAGCAGATGTGATCCAAAGACAAGAGGGGCAACACATGCATCCTCATACCCGCAATCCTTTTTTGCACATCACGATAAAATGCTGGCAAAAGTACTAATGTAGTACAGAGTTTAACACTATGAAGGTACTGTTAAGGCTGGTGCCATTACCATGGCAGCAATGGAATGATGAAGTGGGGAAAGGATTTATGCCCTGGAATGTGTGCAGTGTATACCAGATGGGGTTCTCGTGAATTTTGCTACCCAGTGACTCTAAGGAAGTTCAATAAATCACCAAAGTTGGAAAGCTTAGGATTCCTTCACAGTCCCTTATCTGCCAACATGGAGCAAGACTGACTGGTTTCTGTTAAGCCATCAGAACTAGCTGTGAAGTCTAGCACCCATTGCAATTGCTGTAGAATTGTGAACTGGGACATCAGTTATGGTGTTTGGCTCAAGGAAGAAGTATGCATGTGATAATAGTTTATTGTATGCCATAAAACAGGACAAAAGGGACAAAACAAACTAGGACTCATTTTTCTTAATACATACTTCCTAGAAGAAACAGAAGTAACTTCCACTGCACAAAACTAGAAGAAGTTCTAGCTAGACTGAGATGTGTGTACTGTCAAGGCAGATGTAATTCAACTTGGCTAAGCTTCAGCAGATTGCAAAACTAAACTGGATGAGAATGCACCTAAGAGTGAAACTATAAAAATACAGTGACGTGTCCAACAATGGCTCATTTTCCTAGACAGCTTCATAACAGGCCCCAGTAGAGGAAAAAGCATATTTCAAAGGCCCTTCTGGAAAAGCATGGTTTCTACTGTCTTGCTTTGTTGAATACAAAAGTTGTCAAATCCAGACTGGGAGTATTACAGAAAAAGTGCCTGATGGATTTTCAAACTTTAGCTTAGCAATCCCAGAAATTATTACCCACAAAAGATCATACATATTTATATTCTTCTGCTCTCATCTAACAATTCTGATGTAGTCTAGTTCTGTGTCAGTCTATAGCTGTTTATCACCATTGAGATCTATATTCCACTTCCAGGGAATATATACTCTCTGAAACTTTCAGGTTTTCCCTGAAGGGAGAGTATAGTATCATCCACTCAGAGATAAATAAAAGTAAGCAAAGTAAATTCTCAATTTACCAATAGAAAAGCAAGTAAATCATGGTAAACAAAAATAAATAACTTATAGATCAGATATTTATGTATAAAAATTATAAATGCTGTCCTCTAATACTGATTTTTATTGACATGGTCTATTTTGATATTATAAACTTACATTCTAAGTACTTCTGGTAGCATTTGAAAGGTAACACTGTGTTAGTTTTGGTGCCATGACAGTGACATGCACTTTGAAAAAAATCCTAGTATATGAGTCAGGAGAATATGTATTAAATTTTGTATTAAAGGCAATTTTCTTTTTCCCCATTTAAAAGCTGGACTGCATGGTAATGTAAGATACTTTGTTTTCCATTTCAAACATTTAAGACAGCTTACAGATATTAAAAAAAAATTTAAAAATCATCTTTTGGGCAGAAATATCAATGTTATTTAGTCCATCTTAACTAAGAACAGATAAGCTTAATTTTTATTCTTTAAAAGTTAACTTTCACCATTACAGAATATGTTTATAAAGATTTACTATTGATTACCAGAAATTTAAGAAGTTTCTGGTGAAATATTTGTTCTGACAGACACTATTTACTGACAAAGCAAGCAACCACAGATGAATAAAAATAGAAACTGATGAAAAAACTATACTAAGAATCTGATTGTCTAAACAAAAAATCCACAAGCAGGAAACTTTTATAAATGTTTGATGCCAAACTGTGAGAAAGTGTTTCTTCTGTAGCCACAAGGAAAAAGGAAATGCCTACTGAAAGCCAAGAAGTGGTTGGTATTTATTTACATGGCCTCCTACCCACATGCTGAGACAGGGCAGTTTCCAAGAAAGGGAAATCGTAAGGGTGCTTATGCTTGATGCTAGCAGAGACAGCATGTCACATATGAGAAATCAGACCTAAATACGGCTTAATTTCAGGATGAAAGTACTACTGCAATATGAAAGCGTGGCAGCAAAACCCCCAGCAACTCCCCTTCTTCCACCCCCCCAAAACAACAAAGTAAAGAAATACATATAAATGGAGCATGAGTTAATTCAACAGCAGATAAGCCCAACATGACTTTAGCCTTAGCTCAATTAATATTATGTTATGGCACAGTGAAAAAAGCTCCAGCCAGGACTATCTGTGCATGTTTCCCATCCTGTGAGAGGCTGGCAACATAAGAAACAGGGAATGTATGAAGCCTGGGAGGAATGGGGCTAGGCACACTTCTACAAGTGACGACATGCACATAACTGTGGGTCCAGTTTGTCGCCCCCAGCATTTGTTCTTTTTTATTTATAGATTTTTATTTTTATAATGGGGCAGAGAATTTAAGCATGACATGAGGGGAAAAACCAGCACATGCTGATCTCATGTAGAGACTTTGCCTCTCTTTTTCCTATACACACTAGAGGAGAAGGAAAAAGTGGGAGGCAGCATGGCCCACTCCTGTCTCTGTGACATGAAGATAAAAAAAAAAACCCATAATGCACCTTAGAAAAACAAACCAAACCTGCTAGCCTGGGGAGGCTTTTCCACCCTTGAGACGATGTTTCACCACTCGTGGGCATAAGTAGCACTCACATCCTTAATGGACTAGTTCTGTTCTCTGACAGGCAAGTAAGCTGCCAAGAACTGACAGCACGATGTAAATATGCCATATTACAACTGCCCCTTCCTTATGCAGTGTTTAAATGTACTAAAAATAAATACTGCTGAAGTTCAAAATGGCACTAGGGATGAAAAAAATACAACAGCAGCTCCCTTCCCCCAGCAAAGTCTCAGCCAGCACTTCCAAACTAATGAACTTCATTTCATTTTCAGCCTGAGGCAGAAGTCATTCTCTGCTTTTGGAACTTTGCAGGGCTCCATCAGAACAGCAGAAGAATAAACCCTGGACACAATGTCAGTTAACCGGATTATAAGGGGAACAGAAACCTTTTGCTACATAGAAAAGAGATTGTTAAATTATTTCAGCTTCTTCCAGTTATCAAAGGTGATTCTCACTTTTATTTGTCACTTCAAGATGGCTGCTGTGCAAAAGCAGCATGCAGAACAAACTCTACTCCACATTTTGTATCCTGAGGAACAGAAGCAAAATCCATGCAGGACAATTCACATATATGATGTTCAGATTCTGAAGGGCAAGTCTGACCCTGAGTGTTGGCCTATTCACACATTCAATTAAGTTACGAGGAATCGAGCCAGTCTGCTCACTGCTTTGTTATGCTTTTTAGAACACCAGTTTCCAACCAGAGGGTCATGACACCAGCCAAAATGTGTCTATGTCAACTGTGGGGAGCACAAGTTCAAAGAAATCAAGCTCACAACTGGAAGTGCAGGCCACACTGGAAAAGTAGGAAAAAAGGCTGGTTTACAGGAGGATTCATTCTGTGAATCATTTGCACTGAAAGTACAGCTCTTGAGAGTAATTACTGCACACTGATAGCAAATACAGATAGCCATGAAATGACTCTTCTATTAATTAGTATTACACATTAACAAGTATTGGGCATTAACGGGGCAAAATGTGAACTACTTTTAAATCATAAATTGAGCAAGGACAGTTTGAATTAAAGTTCGGGAACAACAAATAAAAAGAGTGGCATTTCTGCCTCTCAACTAGATTTCCAGACTGACACTGTACTACTTATTCTCTGTATTTGTTTCCACATTGGTAACTCAGGCCTAATGCTCCCTGACTCACTGGCATCATGCTAGACCTTGTCTCTGCAAGCAGCTAGTGATGGCAGGGCATCATTAAGGTATCCTGAATTCAGGGTATTAAATGTGTAGATGGAACACTAAAGCTGAGCAACTATTTGGTGAAGCAGTTAAGCAGTGGAGGCAGAAAACAATACCAAAGTGAAGATGTTCTACATCATCCTGTACTATTTTAGATGGCTGGATCACTACCCTCATTTTAGAGACAGAAATAGACACAAGAAGCAGTAGCTTGTGAACCTGCTGAGCCTGAGCAATCTGTATTAAAGAAAGCAAGAAGAGAGAAAAAAAAAAGTGTATGGAAATGCTGCTGGTGAGCTGAAACTTCGCCTGTTTAG